ATTGAGACAAATCTAAGTTGAGAGTGTCCCATTTTTGTTTTCTCTTCATTTTATAGGGGAGACAAAAAAAAATTGGCTTATTTAAAAAAATATTTATTGTTTTACTGTTCATCAATGGTTATTATTCAAAATGTGTTGGATTTGAAATTTAACATTATCTTATAATATTTTTGTGACAAACAGATCATAACACATATTTTATCAAAAACAAAACAGACACACATAAATCAAAAATTCAAAACTCAATGTTATACATCAAATAATATGTTATTTAAGTTAAAACATGTTAAACATCATCAGAACTAGTCAAATTACCAGATGACAAATCTGATACACTTTAATAGCTATAGAAATTATGTTGAAGGTGTTATCAATATAGGACATAGAATATTATGTGGTTCATATAATTTGTATAGTTTTAATACAGTAGTATGGTCCAAATATGTAATCATGTAGTTGACGTGTAAGGGGTTTTTATTAGGGCTTATTAGTCAGATAGCTATGTTTGAGTGGTAAATTAAGTAAGTAGACATGATTTTGACATAATGTATTGTCAGATTTTTTGTCCTCTTTTTATCCGGTTATGTCCCTGCAAGAAAAAGGTTACCAGTTGCATATTATAAAACAAAAGACGTGTTCATTTTCTGTGGTATATTGCAATCACATAATTCACAAAACGCGTGGAAGAAATTTATTCAACATATATAATGTGTTTTTCATTCTGTATGAGCATATGGAACATAAAAGGTGATAAACAAACTATTCTATCTAGGTTGCACATATACTATTTTATTTATGTGACATAATACATCACTCAAACCGTTATTGAGAACTAAACATATATAACCAACCACAACAGCTAAATAATATATCCAAATCTCTATTTAGTAAATCTAAACCCTATATTCTAATCACTAAACCCTAACTCCAGTTATCCCCTTCCCTTTCTAAATACTAAACCCTAAATGTTAATCACTAACCCATAACCCAAATATAAATTTTAAACCCAAATATAAACCATAATCACTAAACCCTAAATTCAAATATAAATCTTAAACCCATAAACACTCAACCTAAACAGAATGGAACTATATAAATAGCATAGTACATGTTGGAAAAAAGACTAGTATGGAAGCCCATACCTTATAACTAGGGTTTATAGTGTTTAGTTTTGATCAATACACATAAATTAAGATTCATAACAATGATAAAACAACAAACATAATTTATGCTTAGGGATTGTACAATCATATTTCTATTCTATATTCTGCAAATAGAATAGTATACAATAAATAGTAAAGATCAAACATTCCATTTTACATGAATGGTGTTTCCATTTTACGTATACATGATCTATTCAACTATATATACATTGCGTCATTATTGTCATTTCCAAATTAATGGGGGTTGATTAATAAGTATAAGTACAAACAGTTAATTCGTAGAAAGATCATAAGAATATATAACAAATGTTTATTTATTATAAAATACATTTCTATTCGAGTGCACCAAATAGAATAGAACAAAATAAATAATAAATTACAAATAAAATGACTAGAGATGGAACTGATGGAGTAGTGTAGAAAGAAAAACAAGGAGAAGGTGAGGAACCATGGGGAGCAGTGGTGATGGAGAGAAGCTTGTGATGGCAATGAAATAACCACTGGTAGTGGTGGTGATGGCAGTATTACCTATGAAATAATAACAATATAGTACATATAACAATTCATTTCTATTCTATGTGAATAATATAAAATAGAATAGAAAACATGGAATGGAATGGATTCAGAGCATTGTACGCCTTAGTGGAAACCTCATCAACAATGTAATGCACTAGGTATGCAATCGACCAAACAGTATATAGATAAGAAACGTCGTTGTTCTCTATCACGTATATTAAACAAAATGTCATTTGTATGGAAGAATATGACCATGAATAAGAATGTATGCAACTCAATGTAAACTGAGATACGAAATTGTCATGTCCGGTCCATTTAACCTAGTATGGAATGACTGCATCTACTACTATTCCATTTCAAATGGAACGAATGTTACACCCAAATGTCAAACCGTTGATAGAATAAGAACATGAACAATAACATATGCATCTAAAAAGTTAATGTTGATACCGCCACAACCCCTAAATATTAAACCTTAATCTGTAATCAGTAAACCCTAGACCAAAATATAAATCATAAACCCACATATAAACCCTAAACCCATATATAAACTCTATACCACATGAAATGGAACAACCTCAATAACATAGTACTTAGTTGTTGTATTATCAAATATTTGTGATTGTATTTAAGAAGATAATGTTAATCTCACCTCACTCGATAAATATTAAACCCTAAAGTTTAATCAGTAAACCATAAACCAAATATAACCCCTAAACTCAAATATAAACCCTAACACCAATCATGAAATGTAAACCAAAATAGAAAGAAACACAATGACATAACATAGTACATAATTCACTGATTTAGGGCTTGAAAAAAAAGCAAAAAAACCCTAAATCCTAATCACTAAACCCTAAACCCAAATATAGACCCTAAACCCAAATATAATGGAACAAAATAGATAGAATAGTACATATTGCTGAGCAAAATAGAACACTATTTATTAATCATCAAATGGAACGATACATGATAGGGTCACTAAACCCAATCATCAACCCCACCTTCTGAATACTAAACCCTAAATCCTAATTACTAAACCCAAGTATAAACTCTAAACTCAAATAGAATAGAACAAAATAGATAGAATAGTACATATTTGTGAGTAAAATAGAATGGAACATGATATTTAAATTTCTATTTTATATGCATATAATAGAATAGAATACAATAACTGTTCATCTTCTTCCACATACAACAAAAATGTTCTGTAAATTCAGATACGTACAGTTTCGGTGAAAATAACCCAAACAGAGCACCACAACTTACAGATATTGGAAGGATCTCCGTCAAATCACCTCACTGCTTCTCTTATTCTGACGTCTTCTTTCGTGACCGACCACATCTTTAAGAACGGTTTCTCCTCCGCAAAAAAATTCTCCATGAATACATCTGGGGCATACTCGTACAAATCTGAGAAGAAATCTATTCATATTTCTGAGAGGATCTGTGAAAGTAATGAAGGCCACATATTTCTTTTACAATCATTAATTATTTTTTTATTCTTTACAAGTTTCACCGATAGAAAAAAGGGTATTATGGCAATATTATAGAAAAGACATGTGGTGTATCTGTGTATTAGGGAAATTGGCTACAAAATGAATTATGCTTTTTTGTTTGTCTATACAGCCCGATTCCCCTTTTTATTATTTGTTTGAATCTCTACGTGCTGTATGTGTTGGTAACATTATTTTGTACAGAAGCAACCTCGAATATTAACAGCAACAGAAAATAAGTGAAAATACAATCTTTACTGCCGAAAAGAGAAGAGGGTAATTGTTTGACCATAGCTGTCCAGATTCGAAGGAAAATAAAGTATATACTTTTAGAATCGTTCAAAATCATTTATTTCCATTGAGATGCATAAAATCTTTTTTTTTTAAAGCCCAGGAGAACATATGTGTTTTGTAGTAGTTAGATATTGAAAAGGTTTGCTCGAACAGAAAATCAGGTAGTATCTATCGTCCGTTGACAAAACTGAATAAAATAAACATTAGCAGATCACCAATAAGCTCGAATATATATATTTTATTTGTTTCTAAAAAAATATTTTATTTATCAATTAGACCATGAGTTGTATATGGTGAAGTAAGGGTTACTAGGTGTTTTGCCCGCACATGCGGGCTTAGTAATTTTATAATTACTTATTATTAATAAATGCATTACTAACTAAAATATTATAAGGATATATTTTTATTTGTATTTTCATTATTTTAATATATTAATTTATATATTTTCTGTATATGAATTTTTTAATTTTAATTTTTTTATAAAATATATATTTTTGGATAACAACACAATATATATAAGAATTATCTTTTTAAAATTAAAATTATTTTAATATATTAATTTATGTATTTTCTGTACATGAATTTTGAATTTTAATTTTTTTATAAAAGATATTTTTGGATAACAACACAATATATATAAGAATTATCTTTATAAAAGAAAATCTATATTTTAGATTTTGATTAATTCTGTTATTAATTTTAACAAATTATCTAGTAAATGAATATTAAATTTGTTTTTTATTTTTAGATAATTTATATAGTTTATTCATTAAGGGTATAATCAATTATATATAAAACTAAGATATATAAGCATTATCATGTTGTTATAATATTATATTCAGATAA